CAGGAATGACTGTTACTACTCCATGATACCGCCTCTAAAGCAGAGTTTCCAGGCATAACTTAAAACTCATACCTATAAATCTAGTTTCCTAATGAAGCAAGTCTTAAGACATACTTCTCTTGTGCTTGTGTCTCTGTCTTCCCCTAACGTATTTTGGACTGGCTGACTAAGTTCAACCACTGCAAAAAGGGTAGAAGTCCAAAAAACAAAACAAAAAATCCCAACACACACAAAACAAAACTGTGGCGTAATGGCATTACTAAAAGCTCTGTACAGACATAAAGGAATAAGACTTGTACCACACAGAGGATGGACCAACCTCAAGACATGTGCATGCACATCCAGAAAAACACCCATATGAAACCTGGTTCAATTTACAAGCTACTGGAACTATTTTTTTCCTCCTCTAGACAAGTATTCTTTTCCTGAGGAAAAGCCACCTAACAAACACTTAGCTCTTCTCTTTCTGACCTACTTTATTTCAAATAAAGTAATTTAAACCTGAAGATGAAAGGTGGTATATGCAAGGAAGAATGGAATATTTATGACCTCTAACTGATCTTCAGTAGATCTTCTTAGCTGATCTAGAACCACTCTAATACAAAAGTAGGGGCTCAAATATGAAGCAGTATTTGAAATTATTAATTTCCATTCAAAGGTCAGTTACAGAAATATTAGCTTTTAAGATACTATCAACAAGCACAGCAATAAAGTAACTTAATCTTGAAATGAAGCTTGCTTTTCAGATCATAGTTTTCTGATTTTGCACAGCAAAAACCTAAAAGAACTGGCATAAAATGAAGCAGATCTAAACTGAGCTGTCATTTTATTTTCTTTTATCCTAATCAAACCCTCTCCCAAATGAATAAACTAACAACAAAATCAATGCAATGTTACATTTCTCAGCTTTCATTAGTGAGTTGGAAAGCTTCTAAATTATTTCTAGTAATCTTGAAAAAAGCTATTAAAACTTTTTATGTGATCAGATTACATCAATAATTTGAATGAACTTTAGTCCTTGAATCACAGTTGCTTTGCTTTTGTTTGGTTGGCTGGTTTTTTTGTTTTGTTGGGTTATTTTCCTGTGTGTAGTGGGTAGCTGGTTTCTTGTGGAAAAGGGGCTTAAGTGATTATGCCCCTTTCCGTGCCCTATACTTTCCCATAATTCTCAACTTGTTGATCAGTTCCAGTCAAATGTAAAGGAGTATTAGAGGCCTGGAAATTGTTAGTCGACAAAGATTTTGTGCTACAGGAGAAAAGAAAGCCACAGGCCCCAGCACAAAGACAGCTGTATCCTAACACCTTATCAATCCCAAGCAGCAACCAGCCAGCTGCCTGATAAAGCCACAAGTTAGCTCCAACCTACCTGTGTCTCACAGAGACTCTGCACGTGCACTTGTCACCTACCCAGTCAGAAAAGTACAGGACTTTGCGGATCATTTAAGTGAATGCCATTGTATCCGCAGTTTCATAGGAGTCCTCTCTTTTACTTATATCATTATGTACATTATGTAGCTTTTTAATTATATATAAACAATCTTACCTTATTTGGTATAGGGTGTGTACTTGATCTTCCATCAGATGATTTTGATGTGGGGCACAGGCTATCACTTAGAACTGGAGCCACCTAAGAAGTTTCACATAAACACTGATAAAAATATATTGAATTTTGTCATAACATCATCCAACAAGAAACAAGGCTATCATCCTCACTCACATAGTATGTAAACTGTGACACTGTGATGCTATGTTAGGAAGTCTATGACAACTACTTCTAAATTTCAGCTTTCGTTGGGATGCTGAAAGCATCTTGGGTACAGAGAATTTTCTTTTGAGTCACAATCATGACAGACTAATCAAGTGCTATTGGTTGTATTTCATTCATTTGATTAACAACTTAATTATATATTCAATTAAAATATTACTGTCATTGCCTTCAGGTAGTTCAACACTTTCATATATTTAGTTTTAAATATGTATGTTTTCAGAACAGCTTTAAAGCCTTTAAAAAAACTAATTATAGTCTTTTCAGGTCATATTAAAATTAGAAGTATGCCAAAGAAAATAGGTACAGCTAAAAGTGTTACCAAACCACACTAGAAATTAGAAAATAAGTGACAGAGTGGTTTGTGTTATTTAGCTGGGTTCACTCTGTGTTACTAATGTTCTGCTACAACATAGTAAAGAGTACTAGGGCGGCATCAGAAGTAATAGAATAGTCATAATCCTTTTTGGCATTCTTTTCTGATAAGTTATGTTGAAGGCATAATATAATATAGACTTGAAACAGTATAATACTACAACAATAGCCAAGTGTTCTTAATTTCAGTTTATTTTTCCTCATTGAAATGAAAATGAATAAAGAATTATGAAGAAAGAAAGAAATCACGTTAACACTACTTACTTCTCCACCGCCTGAAATCTTTTTCTGCTGACATTTTCTAACGACCTCCAACAACAGGGGACCACCCGCAGTACCTTCTGCTTCTGTAATTCCCAAATCTCGAGCTAAATTTTCTCGACCATCAAGGCCATTTAGCTGAAGGGGAGGGGAATTGAATAAAAAACAAACAAACAAAAAAAGAAATCACAACACAGAAATAACGGTCAGAAAACACAATATACATTTTGTAATACAATTCCTAAAGCTTTTTGGTCTTATTTAACGCAGCAATATTTTACTAAACAGTGATTATTTAAGACTTCCTGTTGCATGTGGACTAAAGTAATGATAGCCTATTGCATCATTTACTTTTGATCTGTGCCTGAGCCTACCGCAGACCATCCAAAGTTGTTTTAAATATGCAAGTATTCATCATTAGCATGCTTCAGGATTTAACGATTTATACGGTCAAGTTACTTCAGCTTATCACATTTAAAAGTGGATCCTAGGACACTTAGCCAGTGGGGTTCCAGCAAATTCATAGATGATGGAGACTCACTGTTCCTGTGCACATAGAAGTACACCAGTATAGTTCAACACTTACTTTCAGTCTCTGTTTCACTTTAAAAAAACATGGGTTTGGACAGAAACAGGGATGAACGTAATTCACTATCAGCCAAAAAAACTTTTGACAGGAAAAAATTAAAGAAAAATATATTTTTTAAAACTGAACTTCACATTACAGCAGAAGCAGAATGCTGCAGCAAACCCAGGCTGGTTGGCATAATCTCAGAATGGCAATACTGCAAAAGGCACCAGTTCATCTTGAACTCTTATGATTATTTAGTGACACTTCCTATCAAAACACTGGTCCAGCAAATAAGCAAGCCACCACTAGTCAAGCACACTGAAACACAGAGGATAAAGAGACTGCTCAGAGGCAGGGCCTTGTAGAGGAAGACAGTAAAATCTTTCAGCACTGTACACAGCAGTCTTGGACAACTTGCTTAATTTTGGTAAATTTCATATAGGCACTGCAACAGGTGAAAAAGACACCTTTACTGGGTAAAGGAAGGGGGCATTTCAAAGAGCATAGATGCCTTTACAATGCGAATTAAGCACTACTCTGAAGAGTGAGTGGCAACATGACAGATGCATGATTGTTTCTATTTGGTAGCACGAACATGAATCTCTGTACAGATGTGTTCTAGTGCAATAAATGCAGCTTAAGGACATTTGGCAAAAGGCAAAGGTGTATGGGATTTTCTTTGATTAAGCCCTTAAAAAGAAACATGACCTTCTGAGAAACAGAAGTCAATGAATTGATTTAATAAAGTTGGATTTTTAATAAATTAGCTATTTAAACCAACATCAAGAATAAAAATGAGCATTTGAAACGTAAAGAGGAATTCTTCAGTTAAATGGAACTGTTTCAAACACAAATTTATTATTAAAACCTTTATATCATAAAAAGAGACAAAAGGGATAAACATGATGGAAAACCTCCAACTCAATGTTAAAAGCCTAAAAGCAATCAGTGACCTGACATGATCACTGTAGGTCACTTCCAACTGAACTATTCTATTCAATCACTTTTTGTCATGTGCATCTGCACAAAGGCCTTTGTTTCACTGAAATGTCCTCTCAGAGTAGATCACTGACATTCTTTTAATTTTCATGTAACGATACTAACTTTATATCATTACATAGTCAAATTATTGGCAAAAAATGTTGCAGGAGTATTCTGTTGTATACAATTATATCATGTTATATATATATATATATAACATTATATCATGTCACAAAATATTAGTTTGTTAATTTTGAATTAACATATTATCAAGCATTGATTTTTGATAAAGGGAATACTCGTTCATACTGGCACACTTTCCTGGAATGTGTCTTTAAGGCAATAAGTACGTTTTACAGACTAAATATAAAAAATCGTTTAAGCCACAAGCAAGTGGCTTAAACAAATCTACTATAGGTTTTGTGTTCATTGCCATGTACTCCAAACAATCAGTATAGCATACAAATAAAACCAGTATATCTTACTGTGCTTGATTCAGGCTGAAAAACAGCCAATGTAAAATCAAGATTGAAAAAACGTAGAAATTCTGCAACAAGACCTGCTACCACACGACCTAAAAAGGAAATGAGAAGAGTAAAAATATACCAGATGGAAACAATTCTTACTTCAAAGACTTAACATTAACATGGCTTCAATATGAACACCTACATTGAATCAACACTCCTACAGACATCATCTAGACATTCAGCACACTACCACCGCATACCTAATTTGTATACCAGTTCCCCCATTTCTAACTCAGCCATAGTATGAAAATTATTTACATCAGCAATACCGCAGGAGCAATTAATAGAGATGGATTACAAAATTCAGGTGTAAGATTATTTTTTTAAACTATGCAGCTGTCAAAGACATTGTTTGGGCATTTCTCCTATGTGTGTATTCACTACTATACCTCTACAGTGAGTTTTCCCTGGTTACTGTTTCTATTGGTCTAGGATGACTCAGAGTTTGTATTATCATAACTCATCATGAAATATTAATTTAAATGCATTAGTCCCATCAGTTAAAAATACAACTTCAGCAATATTAACTTCAAAAATTATAGATTGAATTATATGTTGAAATAATAGTAATTATGACATTTGACAGGAAAAAGAGCATCTTTTATGTCATGAAGACTGTACTGTTACTAAAAGATTCAAAGATTTAATCCTTTGTTCCCTATTTTTATTAGTTTGAGAAGTATACTAAACAAAGAACTTACCATCTTTTGTACCTAAAAAACTTTTCAAGCTTTCGTTTACCAGAGGTGCTTTGTTCTGTCAAAAAGCAAAAACCAAACAGTAATTAACATCATCCTTGTACTAGCAAGAAATTAAAAACCACAGCAAGTTGGTGTTTTGGTGTACACTGTTCCATAATGATGCCTGGCACATGTAATTCAATTCTTCAAAATCTACCTTTGTATTAAGTCTACTACCTACAGTAAAAGCTGCAGAGCCACACATTTACTTAGGCAAATTAAAATTGTCTCAGTATTATCTATTATAAGAGCTACAGAGCTAGAGCAATTTCACCAAAATTCTTAATAGCATACTGATTCTTACTTACTTAATGATGAAAAAGGTAAGTTAAGCGGTTAATTTCCCAAATTGCTCCTCTAATATAGTGCCAAGTTTGTGTAAGGAAATACAGTCCCACTTTTTAAAAAATGCAAATTTACAAATCATCTAGACAAAGTGTGGACCGTGCTAATTAGGGGTTCAAAAATCAATACTAATCTTCTATTAATTAAAAGACCTTCAAAGATATTACGAAAACAGGGTTTTCTCGCTTGCTAGGTTTGCCGTCTTCAACTTTGATTTATTTCTGTTTAAAAACCAATGTGCTACATTTGGGTGTGCCAAAATTGTTCAGGGATTTTTCAAACCAAATTCTAAACGCCATTCCTAACACATCAAAATATCCTGGGTAAGAACCTAACTGTAAGAAAAGGTTCTGTTATAGGTATTTATCACTATAGTCGTAAATGCTAACAGACACAAGAGCAAGTTGTGCAAAAAAAGAAATATATCTTTACCATTATCATTTATATTTAGGAATTCAGAGTAATATTTCCAGTGTCTCCACAGCATAAAATTAAAATACCATGATACGTTTAAGTCTTTTGAAAAAAGGGCAAGCCAAGATAATCTGTAGCATATTTCTCTTCAGCCCTGTTAGTCTCCAAATAGTCTGGGACATTGTTCTCTGGATACACTGCAATATGCTGAAGCTTCCTGTAAGAGATGGCACTGTTCTGCCGTATCACTCTTCCATTAAGTCTTCTTCAGCAATCTTATGTTAGATTTCTGGAATATGGAATCTCATATCATAGAATAACTACATCCCCTCCTTATTAATGTCACAATAATGTCTGTTTCAGTTGTGCAGTTTTCCAGAAAAAGCACATCTAACCAGTAGAGGAATAGGACAGATTTCCATTCCTCTCTTTTGAAACAGAGAGCCTGGACATACAGCACCCTCTCCTCTCTAGCTCTAGAAAGTGGAAAGATACAGGAAACGAGGCAATGCCAGCAGAAGAAGGGGTCACAAAACCAGCATCTGCATACTACAGCAGTATTGTTACTTAATCATGCTAGTACCACATACCCTTAATATTGTTATATTGTCAAGGTATCAGTATGTAGTCCATTTCTTAATTCAGAATTCTTCCTTAAATATAAGCAAATTACCCTGAAGTAAGCCTACAACATCCTTATGGAAAATACCAAAAACATTAGCATACTTGGCAAGTTACTGCATTAAATTGCTTTCACAATACATCTGTCAAAAAATCCACTTACTAAAATACTTCAGTATTTTAAATTTCAAAAGACATCATTCCGATTTGATAAAATCTTGATCGGTCAACTAGATTTTTTTTTTAAAGAAGTATTTGATGGAAAAGATATTTAGTTATTCTGGTCAACTGGATAGAAGCTATATAAAACCAGCAGAGATAGTTACTTAAAGCTACAGTTTCAAAAGGCTATGTAATAATTCCTATTTCTAAACATCAGGAAACACCCTGATAATCCTGTTTTGTTCCCTTTAAGCAGCATGCTCTTATGCAGTAATACGTAATTTTCTCATGTTATAAATCACAAATAGAAAGAATTAAAGCTATTATATTTAGTTCTACGAAAAGAACTATCAGGATGCTGATTTTTTTTTTTAAGTTTTTTTAAGGTTCTCTTACCTCTACTTTCTCCTGTTCTTCTAACGCCAAAAAAACAGCTGCTCGCAACTCTGCCTGCCAAATACAAAAAAAAAAAAAAAAAACAAAAAAACAAAACAAAACAGCATTTCTACAAACACTGTTTAGCCTACGCAAATAGAATGCAAAGAGCCAGCAAGTAGTTTAACAGCTATTTGTTTCTCCTCAAGCAATTTGGCATCAATTGTAATCTACATCAGTGCAATTAAAACACTTAAGATTACAGGCAATGTGACTTGAGGCTGAGAAAGAGTTTTCAGTCTGAGAACAAGGGGGTGGAGTGGATTTGATACAAGACTTCCTAAATTATTTCTTCATACACAAAGATTCCAAATTACCTACACTATTTCCTATTAGTTTCTTCTAAGTGTTAGAAATTCTGCTCTTTCAGGCAGCTTTGAAACACCTACGCTTCATTTACAATTCTGTCAGGAAACATGAACAAATAGCTTGTGAGAATACATTTTAAGAAGTTTATATTAAGATACACAAATTCCTGTAATTTCTTCTCAGATCACACTCAAAGAAACAGAATTTCTCAAAGAAAAGAGAGCATGATTCCAGTCATTCAAATACTCCTGTAGTGAGGTTTTACCTAACTGACTCTGAATATCTTAATGTCAAGGATCAGAATTCTTCAAAGGACTATTTTGAATATTTAAGCTTAAGCCTCGCTTTTTTTTTTTTTAATGCTAGTTTCTCTACTTCTTTCGTGGAACAAATCAAATGGACAACATACATCACATTTGATGAAGTAGTTTGCCACTTTAATGAACTCTTAATCTGACATTTTGATGTCAGTAGATAACACTGCAGTAATAAACTATAAATGTCAGTGCTACTCTGTATGCCAGTTTTCTCATGAGCAAAGAAGAAAGCAAGCTTTTAAAGAAAGATTAATTTCCATAACTAAGAATAAGAACAATATGAAGAGTGTCTGGATTTTCTCATGTATATTACGAAAGGTAGCTGACCATAGATTAACCTGTAAATTAACCCTCCCACCAAAAAAAAAAAATCCTTTCATGGGAAAAATAAAACAAACACTTCCATTTTAAGCTTGACCCTCTTTGAACACCTTTTTAAAGGGCAAAAAGTAATGCAAAAAAAGTTTAAAATATTTCCCATCGAAAGTGTAAAATGCTTACCACGACTGTATGCAGTGGTCAAACTGACACTGCGGTTACATTTTTTCAGGTGCTGGGGTACAGCATTCAATTAGCAAATCTTCTGATAAGGCATGAATTTAAACACTATTCTTACAACATCAGTTTACATTTAACTTTCCAACCAATGGCTAACAACCTGTTTATTTAGTTTTATGTCACTATGAAAAACTTCAAATGGTTGCAAAGCTGGCTACTTCTCCACTGATGCCACAGCAAGCAAGTATACTTACATAAGAGGGAGGACAAGAAGAGTAACAAAATCATTTGTGAAACAGGCTGGCTAGTACAAAGTTGTTCAAAATAAGACAGTAGCCATTACATGTGGGTACAGATAAACTCCCTTTAAGGGTCTGGATCATGAGACTGTAGAACAAAGCTGTCTGAAAGTCATTGCATTACATCAGCTGATCCAGAGTCTGACCTGTCTGAGATTTTGGAACAATATCACAACAGTCATTCCTTTTCATGTAACTATGATTGCCTGCTCCACTCCTCTAGGTCCAACCCAGTGGCTTCTAAATATGGACTGAGCTGCTTTTCTTCCTTTTCTCATTTATGTAATGACACAGTGCCAATTTCTCCCAGATGTTGCCACTCCCCATTAATAGCAGGTTCACCTTTATTTCCATTAGCGCCCAGTTAATATCCTTAAAGTCAGGACCTCATCACCAGAAGACAATGCCACTGGTCTTTACTACATCTCCTTTTGGCTTACCTGAATCATCTAGAATACCACCCTACACGCTTTCCACAGAGCACCCTCCAACCAGTCCCTCAATCCTGAAAGCATCACAGGAAGTTCGAAGTTAAATGCTCCTTTACTATCTCCACAAGGAAGGTTTACAGTATTCCAACACACTGACCTTCGTTCTTTGAGGTCTGAGCAGTACCTCAGACCTCATAGCAAGATACTCAGAAAACATCATCTCAATACATTTAGAGATGGAACCATACCCTTGAATCTGCATGAGGTTAAAGCAGTAATTCTCAAGTTCAGGAGGAAGAAAGTGAAAAGCAACAATAACAAAGCTGAGGCCAAAGGAAAACTCACCCCAATGCAAGAGGGTGAATCATACTACACAGCAGGATGGACAATGTCATAAAGACCTTTCAGGATGTGAGACAAGTCACAGACAATTTGAACACCAGAGACTGAGACCACCATGATCAAGTATGCTCACAGCAATTTGCACCCATCAGCAGTCTTCAATAAAACAGGATTATGTTATAACATAATAACGTAATACAATAGAGCCAGATGTTGACAAGTAAGGTGACAGTGTATATTTATCACTCTTTCATTCACCAAACCCACAGCCTTCTTTCTTGCCCTGTGGAAGGTGCCCATTCCCTTCTATCCTTAAGCAGTTTTACCTGGCAAGAGCTCATACCAATGAGACAGCAATTTGGTTTCACTGAACTTAGCTAAAATGAGTAAGGCCTAACACTGTATATGACAACCACTGTTGGTACTCAGCGGGGAAATGTATGGGTCAGTATTTTGAAACAAAAGTACATTTCCCCTTTTCCTCCCAGGCATTTACAGCTCATCAGACAACACTGTCTCTTGCCGATTGCTGTTGTACTGTAAATCAGAAGCTTGTAGTCCATGAAAGCACCTTTTCTGCACTGGATTGCAGTATCCCTCTTCAGAACCTAGGTAAGTTGATCCCATTCTAAATACAGAGCCTTTCGCATGTAGTTGAAGTACTGTACAGGAAAACAGTGCTCTCAGTCTGCGGTTCCCTGGGAAAGGAAAAAAAACAGTTCTCGCTATCTTAAGAGCTCCCCAAACACATTTTTTAGGTGGCATCTCAAAAATGGCAATCTGATTTGGGAATATGATCTTAATAGTAAGATAACAAGTACCAACCTTGACAAGGTTATTAGTGTGATTTAGTACACTCATAAAAGCCACCCACAGCGGCTTACATAGCCAGATGCTGGATGAAAATTAAAAGTGTAAGATAGAGACTGTCCAGGACTGAAGGATGACCTGTAGCCCATAACTACCTCCCACCGGTAGACTCTAACACACAGGTATGTAGCATGCCCCTGGCGTTTTCTTTTATTGTGGCATTTGTCCAGCACTTAAACAAGACAGCTTATCACCCGAGAACAAAACTTGAGACCATGTTTTCCAGTAGGAAAGCACTTGGACTTCAATCTCATTTCTATGCCTCAAAGCATGTAGGCACATCAGCGACCAAGATGATTTCTTATAACAGGCACTAAGCACAAACTGCAGATAGGGCTTATTCCTTGCATACTGGTCCCCTCTGCACAGCTACACAATTCACTTGCAAACATCCTGATATCCCAACACCTTCCAAAGAGATCTTGGCAAAAGTATTTCTTCCTATCAAACTTTATTTACACTTCCTACCCCCGAGGCAATATTTTAGATGAACAAGCAACAGCTTTCATGACATGGATCTCAATATGCTGTGAAATACTACATTAAAAAGTGGTTACCTTAATTTCATAAAATGCTTTGTGCACGTAGTACAGTTGAGTATGATGTTGTCTGCTAGCTGACAAAGCCCTGCTGTCTGTTTCATACATCTCCCAACATAATTTCTACAAACCCTTAGAGTCCTACAGCTTTTGCAGAGGAAACCTGGGGCTTTTTTTTTTTTTTTTTTTACATCAAAGACACATTAGCAGAAAGTACAATATAAATTTAAGCTTGCCAAATGCACATGCTACCACCCTTCTCAACCCACTTAAGCAGCTGAACACATACAGTTTTTGAAGCCACATACAGGCAACTTTGTGCATTCCCTAAGAAACAAGGGATAGGCAACTTCAGCACGCGTCAATAAGGGAGACATTCACTTCAGAGATCTGCAGTGGGCCAGCTGGAGGTGCAAAACTCTCCTGCAAGCTTGCATTCACATACCATTACTAACATATGCATCAGTGGATGGTGTGGTTAAATGTATGTTTAGGGCCATGAAATGATTAAAGTAATGCATGAGATTTTGCAGGGTAAAAGAATGGATTGTTGCTGAGATAAACTGTTTACAGATCTTCCAAGCAAAGCACAGGTGTGTATTACTGCCATCTGCTCCAGTGCTATGAAACAACCCCATGCATGCACAAGCATAAACCATCTCTTGCATATGTAAAATTTAGTGACACATAGGCACCTTCCCACAAAACTTTCAGCATCTCCACTTCCTAACTCCAAAATGACTGTCATATACCTCCACAGATACAGAGCAAGACTGGCAGAGCATTAAGTAGTCTAAGCACTGGTGATCAACCCAGGCTAAAACCCTGTGTGCATCAGGCTAAAAGCCTGTACCAGTCTAGATGCATCACAAATCCAAAGCTGGTGCCAAACTGTAAATAGCAACTTCACTACCAATGTTAGTCAGTATCCTTCCTGTCACTCTCCATCTGCAAAGTCTGTGAAGTTCTCATCCCCGAGCAGGACCAGTTTGCATGACTATTTTTTGTCCACTTCAGTAGAAAACTCTTAAAACTTAGCAGCCTTAATTGGCTAAGAAAGTTAAACTTGCTGGCAGTGTAATTGAAAAGATGAAGGAAGAATGGTGTAAAAAGAAATAGGAAGAATCCATATCACACAGGAAGTAGTAAACACCTAAAAGCCATAAACTCTAAATACCTGTAGCTACGCTTATCATGTGCTTAGTCTGCATGTCACAAGCAGTTCTCATTCTCATGTTCCTAAAAGTAGGATATGTCCACAGTTAAGAGGACCATACTGACATTGAAGTCTTGAATTTCAGTTAGTTAATCTGAAATCATTATAAATGGTTATATTTTACTTATCTTGCAAAAATAAGAAATAGATGTTACATTAAGAAATCAATGATTCTCCTTCATTCCAAGAAATTAGTTGACTTTCTGATAAGAACTGCTTTAAAAAAAACCAAAACCCACAACATCCAGAAAATAGGAGATTACACTGTGGTGTACAGCATAGTCATCATGACAGTTAGTAATTTAAAGACATTTAAAAGCATTCATTATAATACATGAAATGAGGATGAAAAAGCAAATAGGACATTTTTGACTGACCTATGTACATACAGTTAGCAGGCCATTTTAAAAATAGTATTTTTCTTCTATCTAACACCACATTATTTGCCAGTACCTTAGCTGCCTAGGTTTTGAACCAAATTAGCAAGAAATTGGCAACAACAGCATCAGCTGGCCAAAAGCATTACTAGTCATACGATATTAGTGATGCTAATCTCCCTCAAATTTGTAGCAACAGCAAGTTCCAGAGAAGATGCAAAATTCAAGTGGCGTAAACTTATTTTTCCAGGGCAAAAGAGATTAAAAGATACAAACCAAAACAAAATAACAAAGGAACGCAGTAAGAAGCATAATGGTTCTTCTTGCTCTTATGATGACAGCTTCCCTAGGAGACAGAAAGATCACATACTCTTCAAGACAGAGGAACATCTCTATTTGTACAGCATGCATCACACAGTATCAGTGATAATTTTCACTAAAGTACAAATATCCACAGTTATATTCTGTGTGTTTACAGAATTCATTAGGAAATAGTCTTATGCATCAGATTAATTCCAATGATTAACAAGTTTATATATATACACACACACTCTACAGGTTAGAGAAGATGGGAAATTCTCAACTGCAAGCAGCAGTATATTTACGTTCTGCCAGTTTTCACAATACAACTTCTTTAAATACTCCAGTGCTCAAAGTCTAAGGTAAATTTTAAAAATCTGTTCACAATTTTTTCTATATCAGAAGTAAATTGTTTTCAGCTAAATAATTTACATCAACATCAAAGTGCCCAAGAAATTAATCTCAAAATAAGAATAAACTAATAAAGTGTAACCCATTATAAAATCACGTTGTATTAGAGAACAAAGGCATCACCATAAGTTTCTTTCTAAAAGTTATGCAGTCGTTATGTTACAAAATATATTAGCTGACAGTCTGATACTTTCTATCCACCGAAATAATTCCCCTTGAATTCTAATCCTTCCAGAGCTGTCTTCACCTATAGTGCTGCACACCAATTCAGCTATACATTAAAGAGAAAAATAGACCATCAATGTACCTGCTTCAGTAAATCTCAAATATATGTTTATAGTTAGCTTTCTAGCCTCATCCATCTGGAAAAAATGGTCAGTACTCATTCTGAAGTATAAAATAACTGTTTTGTTAACATGTAAATATTCGTTCAGTTCTACCACATAATAAAAAATACTGACACACAATAGATAAAGAAACACTATTGATCATATATATGCTTAATTTACTTTAACGAAAGGATGGTGTCAAATTTTTTCTTAGTCCATAGTATAATCTAATTTCAATTAAAAACTGACTGTTAAAGAAGATTTGTTCAACCTTAATTCTTCTGGAAGACAATGGGCTTTCTGTCAGATACTAGCAGAACAAATGCTGTAAGTCACTAACACTACCAACTACAGACAGTCAAACTCCCATGCCAATCAAGGTTTACAGCTAAGAAAGAACATCATGAATTCCTCAGATGAACAGCCTTAACCACAAACATACCAATTAATAAACAGTAACTCCTAGTATTAAAAAGAGATATAACCCAGTAAGTAGGATGCAGTTTCCATTTTTCCAAGTCATTTGCTAGTTTGCCTTAAGGCTACCTTATGCCATATTGGATATTACACACTTTTAGCATTATAGGATAGTGAAGACTACAATAAATATATTTACACAAAACTCAACGAACTG